GTGTTCCTTCCAATCTCTTGTGAAGTCAATGTTACCATCTGCATACAGCACCCGTCTTCCTTGTATTGGAACATAGTGAACAATGTTGAATGAAATCATGGTCACATTTGTATAACACACAACCAACAGAGTGCAGAAGGCACGGGAGACATTCCTGTTTATGTAGCAAGCAGGGCGGCAATTTGCAATCTTGGCCAAAATCACTAGCAGGAGAAGAACATACAATGGAAAAATGTAGTTCACTCCAAGTTTCTGAAGGTTTGTCATTCCTTTGTAAAAGCAAGTACCAGCACCATTTATGTGCCAGTTAGCGAGACCAATCACAAAGGTGATGAATGGATCAAGGTTTTGTCCTTCTTGAAGAAGAAACAAAGTAATTTGATAAGAATACAGCCAGGTGTTGAGGTATGTGGTGAAGATGTCCAAATTAATCCGAAACACCATCAGGACAAGCAGAGGTGTCACTAAACAGAAAACCAGAGCAAGTAAAATGTGGATATTTGAGCATGATGGTCTGCATTGATCATTGCCTAGATTCACAGAGTAGCCATTCTTGCAAGCTCCACAGAGAATGCTTGTGCCATTGCGTCCTTTGGTGCACATTGTTTCAGGATTGTATTGAAAGGTTGGCTCACCGTCATTGGGAAAATTGCAGTAATTTGGTGGACAAGGGTAGGTGCTAAACTTATTGTCCTTTATTCCACCCCAGTATCCTCTCTTCAAGAAAACATACTTAGCATCGGAACTGCAGTTTGATATACCTGACTCAACGGAGCTTGAGATACAAGAGCAGGTCTTGCTATCTGTCTGCTCAAATCCATCATTACAATGTTGTAAAGTCAATTTGCCTTTGGAAGAATTCTGCACAACACGACCCATAACAGTGCTAAGTTGAACTTTAAATGGACGTTTCACGCCTCCCACAAGATGCAAATTGTTGATCTTGGGATGATCTCCAAGCACTAGAAACAACTTAGAAGCTGTTCCAAGTCTAACATCACTTGCAGAATTTTGATTATGTTCTTCAGTTATGGTCACCATGACAACACCTAAAACAGAACTGTTCTTTTCATCAATTAACTCTACAGTTGGGTTAAAGACTTCACTTGGAGAAACTATCCATTCCCTTTCATTGAACTTAATTAGGACTGGATCAGTTGATATTTGTGCTTCCCTGCTCTTGTTTGCATCCTGATATTGAATTGTGTCTTTCCACTCCAGAGTTCTGTGGTTTATGCGAGGCACTCCATCTTCACGGCATCCTTGAAGGGTGGAAGCATACACTGAGTCTCCACCACCTGTCGCTATGACTTGATTACCCCTAAAAACTATTTGAGTTTGCCATTCAGTGACGTTCCGTAGACTGTAGCTGTGGTTATAGGCAAGAAAACACTGTCGTGTCTTCAGCTCTGTTGTATTGAAAGCCACCACAGGAGGACCAGCGTCTTTCACATAAATGGCTCCACCTTTCTTTTGAGCAGTGTTGTTAAAGAAGTGTAGAGTGCTGTTTGGCATGAGCATTAAAAGAGAAAGGCCATACAATCCTAGTGCACCCCCCTCCCCTCCAGTGTTATTTTGGAATGTCACATGGCCAAAAATGTGAAGCACAACATTCTCAACCACCATTGCTGTATTGTCATTATGTTCAATATACACAACTCCCTTAAGAATGACTGGCAGGGAGTAGGAATAAATTGCTCCTTGGCCAATGACTTGTTTATCTTCAGTCAATATTATGTGATTGTTTGTGATATTACAGTCTTCAAGAATGACAACATAAAGCTTAGGTCCTTTTATGACAGAATTTGGAAGACCATTTACAGCTGCCTGCGTAGCTAACCCAATAGCAGCACCCATAGTTGCTGTGTTGTTCCTCCAGAGACAATTTTTGTATTCTATGTGAAGCTCATCGCCACTGCCTTTGAAAAAGGAGTGCCACTCATAAAACGATACTCCACCTCCTAAGATGGCAGTATTGTTTTCAAACTTGCAAAGTTCATATTTCATTTTGTTGGGATGTAACCCTTGCTGATGGTCTCCAGCAGTGGTACCACTTCTAATGCCTCCTCCAGCATACGTAGCAATGTTGTTACGAAACACACTGTCTATTACCTCAAATGTGTTGTTTTGCACTTTGTCATGAAATTCTATGAAAATCCCGCCACCCCAAATGGCATTATTATTTTCAAAGTGACATCCAGTCACACGAATAACATTATTTTCGGCTTTCCCTTTGACAAATATAGACAAACCTCCTCCTCTTCCAAACGGAATGTGATCATCCCCAGTTAAAAGGTTGACTATCGTCTCATGCTGTTGTCTTGGTGCATAATTCTTTTTGAATGTACAGTTGTAGAAAGTATAGCTACTGTTGGCGTCGAACTGAGCCAAAGCTGTTGCATTAAAATCAAAGGGAAAAGTTCCACCCCTGTAGGTTAACTCCATGTAAATGCCACCACCTGCGATTGCTACATCTTTGTCCGTAACGTTACCAGGCCTGTTGTTAACAAACTGAGAATGTGAAATACGAACCTCGCCACCGATGTCGTACATGTTAAGTCCGATTCCAGGACTGTCGACGATGCTGCAGTGGTCGATAACAATGTTTCTACAGTACACCAGAAAAACCGCTGAAAAAAACTTGACGTGGGGATGTTTAAAGTCTCTGCCAGTGGTACTTGCATGCAATCCACCACAACCACGCAGCAAGATTCCGGTCAGAGTAGTGTTGTCGCAGTTTTGAAAGGATAAACTGCCTCCATTCTCACGGCATTCGATGGAAACCATCGAGTTTGGGTCGCCAACCAATTCGAATCCGTGCAAATTCGTGAAGTTAAAGTGCTGGCTGAGATTGTACGGCCACTTTCCAGCCACTAACTGCACAAGAGTTGAATTAGTTACATGTGCTAAGGCATAGTCTAAGGTTTTACAAGGAATGCTGGAATATGTTTCATTCCAGCAAGATCTCGCATCCACCCCATTATGTTGTGATACTGCAATTCTTCTTTTCCACGTCATTTCTGCACGCAGTGATGGGGCAACTGCTAAAAGGCAAACGACAGGGATAAAAGAAGAAATCAAAGAAACAGCCATCGCGACCTTACGCCTGTATTACTGCCTCCTTCTAAAGCAATCGGTTAAATTCCAACTTCTCAGGTCCACGTCCTCGTTTTCACAGAAATCTCAGACAAGCCGTGGCGTGACTTTCCTAGAACTTTGCTGACGAACCACGCCAGAATTCTTGCACGTTCTGCGGTTATGTGAAGTTGATCCTCTTCAATCAGATAAGTCAGCAATTTTCATTGAAATTAGTAGCCATAATCATAGAATAATATCTCACGAATGTCGTATTTCATCGAGGAAAGGGTTTTTCTCTTTAAGTGCCTTTTTACAGGATGTCAAACAACGACGCATATCACAAGAGTGCGTGACAACTTAAAACGGTTCTAACAGAGACAAGACAATTACTTGACTTTTTGCACGTTTATGGAGTCAGCGTCTTCACGAAATTATTTATTTTTTCGTGTATTTTATTTATTTTCTTTTGTATGACAAATTCTATGTAACAAAAATCTCAAAGTCGTAGAACCTTGCCAGAGTTCTTGCCTCTCCTCTAGTCACGCTAGGGATGTCACGGTCGATGTCGCATTGCATTGATCAATCAAATTTGAAAAGGAACACGTATAAAAATTAGCGTTACGTATGTTCATAAAATAAGACGTCATAAGCTAGAACGCTGGTTGTTTTTGTTTTACGTTTTGAGATAAACATCCTCTATTTCCCGGAAAGAGGTCAAAAGTTCCGTGGTAGATAGTCCTTACCGTTTGCAGTGTAGCGTTTACGGCGACCAAAATCTAAATTCTAAAGTACAAGGGCGTGTCGCTCCAAAAGGCGGTTAACGAGGTGTTTAGGACTATTTTACTGATCGAAATGACAACCCAAAGTTGACTGTTTGCACGAATCTTTATTCTTGAAAGGCAATCGACCACGAACCACAATCAATGACGAAAATAACGATTATTCTGACAGTCAATCAATCTATCGAACGATCGATCGTAAACTGAAACAACAATACAACGAAGTTCTATCAATCTAACGAAAAGCCGCGGAATACATGATCAAAGAATCGCATGTTAAATACTGGGCTCTAAAGTCTATAACGAGATTAACAATACAAGTGAAACAGAACAAAAGTTTGGAAACAAATTAAAAGAGTTTTGATGACTGATAAACAGCCCATTGTTCTATCTAAATGATGGGCGTTCACTGACTCGCAAATTGGCACGAATTTGGCCTTTAAATCTTAAATCTATACAGATCATTGCAATATTTGTTTGTATATTGTCGCCCAACACTGAAAAGACTGGGGAGGAAAAAACAAAGTTACAAAGGTACTCACATATCGGTCCCGCTTGTGCCAGAGGTTGAGAAAACGAAAGGGCGAAAGTTTACCAAGGCTATTCAAAACTTACGAAGAACTGATTAAAGGGACGCTAAATT